CAAGTTTTTTTTTTTAACCATAACGTAGCAAAACTGTCTGTAAACCGTAAACTGTAAAGGATCGTCGTTGTTCCAATTGCTCCACAATTATATTTACTTCATAAGACAAAGCGTGACAGGATGCACAATCTTCTGTGACAGTCTCCCACTCGAGATGAGCTTCTGGAGCGGCTGCTGGAGTGCGATGTGGTCGTGTACAACATCTCAGAAAATGCAACACAACAGCAGGTTGAGGAGGCAACATGGGCAATAACAGGTAAGGGAACGAGGGAGGGTTATAATTTGGTGGACTGATTTATATCCTGTTAATAAAGCCAATAGTTAAAGCATTATTCCCTGTGATACAAAGTTGTGTTTAAAATTTAGGATCAGCTTGGTTTTCTTTGTGCTCCTGTACTTCTCCTCTGCAGCCCTCCATGCTGAGATGGAAAACTTCAAGACTCAGAAAATGTTCATCTTGGTCTCGACAGTTATGACCTGGGCCATGACCAAGCCACAGGACCCGGTGAGCCTGGAGAAAAGTACTGCGAGCTTTTGACTTGTCCTGTGCGTTAAATAAACAACCAGATAGATTGATGATGATAATTTCTCTGTTCAGGAGGAAACAGATGCTCTGCTCACAGAGGAAGAGTTCAGGAGAAGACGACCTCATCCCAGTTTCAAAAACCACAACAATCTGGAGAAACTTGTGCTCAAATTGGGCAAAGGGGTGGGTACGAAGGTCACAATGAAAAAAATATTCCATCCATTGACATTATAGCAAACTGAAAACATCTGAATGACCCATAACTTTCCTCTGATTTCCCAACTTCACAGAAAAAGTCCAAACTCTCCAGTTATGTTGTAACCAGTGGTCTTCAGTACGGACTGGGGGAGAATCTCTTTCACCCCTTCTTCAAGGTAAATAAAACCACGTGAACAGTAATGGAACATGATAGACTGTATTTCTTAGTTTATTCTACACACACAATTTTCAATATCATCATTTTCTAGGTATCTTGGTTGATGACATTTCCAAAAGTTCCCATCTTTGGAGAAGGCACAAACTACATCCCCACGATTCACGTCAATGATCTTGCAGGGTAATTCTTTTATCAACTCAGCTTCTACTCACAACACAAACATATGCTTCATAATACATCTATTCTTATGTGGAGAGGTGAACTGGACTTTTTTTTCCAGAGTGATTCAAAACGTCATTGAAGTGAAGCCAAAGTCAAAGTACATCCTCGCTGTCGATGAATCTATGAAAACCCTGGAGGAAATTGTAAAGGTAATAATGGAGATACAAAGAAAGTGTTTACCATGTTTTTGTTTTTGCACTTTTGTAAACTTCCTCAACCACGAATACAAATGATGGATCTCTCTTTGACTGTTAACCAGGCGATAAGTGACACTCTTGGTCCCGGGAAAATTAGCCATGTGCCAGAGCAGGAAGCCATATTCAACAAGGCTTTCAAGGTAAAGCATGTCATTACGTCTTATTTTGAAAAAATGGGAAATCACTGGAAGGCTACTTTTACACTTTTTTTTCAGTTTAACTATATACGGTTAATTTAATCTGAAAATGGAATATGTCACTTTACAACTTAAAAATATTTTCTGTCAGACATAGTTAAAGCAATATCAAGAATTATACCTGCAATTATGACACAGGATAAAGAGCATGTACACAGCTGTACATTCTTGCATTAATTTTTTTACTTTAAGTTTAATGTATAAACCAAACTGCCTCAGCCCGAGGAGCTGGAGTACCTGAGTATCAACCTCCGCCTGGACGCCTTCATCATAAAAGACTCCTTCAGCCTCCAGTGGACGTCTGAGTCTGGGATGGTTGAGAACATTGAGAGCATCGTGGAGGAATATAAAGACACCAGGCAGCTACTTGTGAGTGTTCAATTATTAATTATTTGTACTATTAGTACTAAATCTATTTAGAGATTTTCATTACTCTTAGAAAACATGAGCTGCCATGATTTGTTCATGAACCAGACTCTTGTCTCGCTCTCTTTGTAGCCCATTAGAATCTGCCTGGTTGGACCTCCATCTGTGGGTAAAACCACTGTTTCAGAGAAGCTCTGCAATCATTACCAGATCCACCTCATCCAGATCAAAGAAGTGATCGAGGAAAAGATGGAACAACTGGTCAGTAGAAGAGTTTCTATTAGGAACTAAAGGACAAATGTCGCCCTCTTGTGGAAGTGCTTCAAAAGCAAGCAGTGTAGTGAACGTGAAGATTTCAAGGCGTCAAATATTCATTGTTCATCAGTCATGTTTCTATTTGTATTTTACAGAAGGAGATAGTGAATGGAGCTGATTCTGAAGATGTGACTGAAGAGGAGGATTCTGCTGCTCGAGCACAACTGGACAATATTAACCAAAGCATGGAAATGAATGAAGGTGAGTGTGTTCTGTCTCAATTCACCAGCATGTAGTCTGTTGTATACTATGATGAAGAGGATTCTGGATATTTAACAGATTGATATTATCTACAGTAAATGTCTGAAAGCCTTTCAGTTTCTTTATAAATCAGTATTTTGATTCATCAGGACGACTGGATGACGAACTGCTTTTTAGCATTTTACAAGAAAAGCTGAGTTCAAGGCCGTGTATGAACCAAGGATATGTTCTGGATGGCTTCCTGAAGACCTACGAACAAGCAAGTCAAATTTTCCAGGGTAAGTTTCATCCATTAAATTGAATTAATGTATTTTCACCCTAACATTTTGTGTTGTGCTTTTATTGTTTAGATGAGGACACAGAGGACCAGGATGTGGAGGTGAAAACACCAGCGTACAACAAGAACATCACTCCAGGTTGGTGAATGTCCTCTTTAATCACCATAAACGTTGTGTTACTCTCAGAACCAACTTAGCTGAACTACATTATCCAACTTGCTTTATGTTTTTTTCAGAGTATGTCATTGCCTTAGAAGCCTCGGATGATTTCCTGACAGAAAGAGTACAAGACCTCCCAGAAAGTGTTGCAGAGAAAATGCGTTACACTCATGATGAATTTGTCCCTCGCCTGACGAGATACAGAAAACTTGGTACTGCTGAAGATACGCTGCTGGACTACTTTGATGAGCTTGAGATTCAGCCTGAACACATAGGTACTATCCTCAAAGCCACACCGTACACAATGAACACATTAAATTGCTAAAAAGGGGAAAGTGTGGCCACTTGCATGTGCTTGTATTTTAAAGTTTAAATGTGATCATACCACCGTGGTTCTGTTCCTCTGCAGAGGTCACTACAAACGATCCAGAGTGCAAAGATTTGATGAAGAAAATCATTGAGATTGTGGGGACCCCCAAGAACTATGGCCTGAGTCCAGAGGAGCAGGAGGAGGAGGACAGAAAGAAAGCGGAGGAGAGGATGCAGAAAGTTGCTGCAGAGGCTGCTGAGAAGAAACGCAGGAATGAGACTGCACTGGCTGAGATGGCTGCTCAGTGGGAGGAGTGGGTAAGATGGGAGACAAGTGTAATAGTGCTGAAGTCCAAGACAGCAAATAAAACCAGAGCATACTTTAATGTGCTGTCTCACAAATAAGTACATTTTAGATAAAAGCAGAACAAAAAGATTCAGTAAATACTTTGACAAATAAAAAACTTATATAAATGTGAAAAACTGCAAGCATAAGGAAGTGAGTCAACATAATATGTTGACACAACATAAACATCAATCTCATTTGTTCATCGTTCATTAGCAGAAGAATTTGTCGGAGGTGAAGAGGCAGGAGGAGGAGCTGCTGGAAGCTCAGTCTCTTCCTCTGAGGAACTACCTGATGAAGTATGTGATGCCCTCTCTCTCTGAGGCCATGGTAGAGTGCTGCAGGATCAAACCAGAGGACCCCATCGACTTCTTGGTACCACTCACTGTTTTACTTCTGATGTTCTGAAGATCATCAGTTGATTTCTGTCTCTGACTCATTATGTTTTGTTTTTGCAGGCTGAACATCTCCTGCGGAACAACAAGGATTAAATGGATTTCACGAAGAGATGATTTCATTTCCAAAACATTTTTGTTTTTATCACAAAACAGAAATGAAATGATCACATTTTTTGCAGTGAGTAATTTCACAGCAGGGAAAAGAGAAATGTTTCCTAATGAGGGTTTACACACAACAGTAAATACTCTACTTTCAGAATAAAACAATACCAAGTGTACTTACTGTGGGGCTTGGCTCATGTGTTTGAGAGTGATGTCTGTACTTCAGTCAGGTATGTGCACTGATTACAGGTCAGTCCACTCTGAGCCTCTATCTGGTCTGTGACTCAGCTCCCACTGTGATGTACAGTCAGCGTTTACTGGAAGAAACATGCAGACACTCGTCTTAATCAAGAAAAGAAGTAAACACAGAGATCCTCATCAAGATTTAATCTAAAGCCTTTTGGCTGCAGGTGATAAAGAAGAGACAGTTTTTTTGGATTAGATGACAATTCTATTTCCTCTCAGGTCACAAAAAGAAGTCGATGTCAATGTGCAGCTCTTTATTCATGAAATGTATCAGTGTAAATTATAATCAACACAAAACATTTTAATGGGACTCAAGAGTTAAAATATGATTCTTGTAAATGATGGGAATTCTGCAAACCTAAAAATAAGTCAGCAGCAGTTCAGTTATACAGAAGAGAAAATCTCAGTTTTCAGTTCCTCCGTTTTTATTGATGTCTGCTCTTTCAACAGCAGGTGGTGCAGGAATTCTTTGCCACAGATGAACAAGATAGAGACACTTGGACTAAAGTCTTAAAATATCTGGTCGATCTTTTCAAATTCACCCAAAACCCAGAACGTCCATATGCTCAAATGTATCTTTGGAATATAAATGAGTCTGGCTGATGAGAAGGCCTTTGTTCAACTTTGGTCGTAAAAAAACATCATAAAACAAGAATGTCGCTGCAGTTTGTTGTGGATGTTTCAGTCAAAACTGGTGTCTGGAGTTCGCTTTGTAGTTTGTGACTGAACTGTAGAATCCACAGTTTAAATAGAAGCTGTCTGCAGACATGGAACATAAATCCTGAGACAATAGAAACACATCCTTGTCATGTACAATGTTTTACCACAATAAAACCGTAAAATACCATTAACAGCTGTGCTGCATTTACTATTATAATGTCCCATTGGTTTTCCATACTGTGAAACCACATGGAGGCTGCAGTAAAACGTATAGTATATCAAATTCTAAAGTATTTTTTGATCATCTTTTAAAAATAGACTCCAACACAAACACACAGAACATACAACATATAAAAGTAATGACAAAAGCATCCAGGACACTTATCCCTCCAGAGAATCTCTGCAAAAGGTCCCTGAGATTCATTACAAGTGAAAATCAAGCCTCTACAGCTGCACAAGAAGTCTCAGGTCTGTTTTTTGGAGAGAGAATAACACTGGACTGTGAAGGAGAAAATGTTCTCATCGTACCTTTGTTGAGTTATTTTAAAGAAAACCTCTGGACCATCAGGCAAAGTGACTCAGTCACACAGGTGTTTTCTGTTATTTTGATAAAACCTCGGCTGCACTCGCAAATAAGTGAAACCACCTGTGTGTGTGTGTGCGTTTGTTTGTGTGTGTGTGTGTGTGTGTGATGTTATTTATGTGACAGCAGTTCATGTGGTAAACAAGGCTGGATTAACCTCCTGGGCCCCACTGGGATTATTGTCCTTCTAATCCAGCATTAGTTGGAGCAGAGCAACAATTAAACATTATTCCATAACATTATACAGAGCACATGTTGATGCATTGGCAGTGATGTGTTTATTTACTTTGTCAAATCTAGAAAAGAAACTCAACAGAAATTATAAAAAGAGGGATGAGCAACCAAAACCAAAAGTACAACAATGAAGGATTGAACTGACGAGGTCATAAACTCTACCTCCTCCGTGTTAAAGGATGGGACATGGGTCAAGTGTGTGTCTCAAGGATGGTTTCTGTCATTTTAGGCAACTCTTCTCACACATGTTGAAGTGTTAATGGATGTTTGGCTTCATTTCTGGACAGCGGGAGGAAGTGGAGACCCTTCCTCCACTTTTATACACAGTCTATGGTGAGGACATATTGAGGCCTCCTGCTGGACAGAGTGGTAAATGCAGGAATGGTCATAAAAGGTGCAACAATGCTGCAAACTTTCACCGTTCATTGCATTTGAGGTCAGTAAGTAAAATATTGGCGAGGGACGGTGTAATTTGCAGGAGGGGGGAAGGCCGCAGCAGTTAGTCCTGATAGAAGTGTTGGCAGAGACTCTGTCAGAGCCACAGAGGTCTGGTCGAACAAATCACTTCCCCAGCAGGGAGCAGCTCCAGCTCTGTCACTGATGTTTCATGTCATATTTATGGGAGAGGAACGACAAGATGTCCTGCCAAACACCCACAGTTTTCCATAATTCATGTCCTCGGTGCATGTGCAGCATGTGTCACATCGGGATTTTACTGCCCCCCCGAAGTCAGCCAGCCCCCTTCCTCATTTCCAGTCTTTCACTGCTGCAAGAGCAGGATATTATTCTGCCTATTAGGAGCTAGATTTCCCACCATGCACCGGAGCATGTGAGACATCAGAAAACTCAAGACTCATTAAGATTTTTGAAAAATGATCTTTACAGTGTAAACACATAGTCATTGCTTGTTTTGCGACTGACAAATTCAAACGGATGTAAAAGCAGACGGCTAATATCCCAAAGTAATTTACCTCCGCCCGTCTGGCACCACAGAGTTAGAAGTATTAAGTGAAAATAGCTAGATATGTGTTTGTATCTTTCCAGAAAACATGAGTCACGACAGATTCAGTCGCCTCCTCTCGACTGAAACAAGTTCCGAAGTGTCCGGGGAGAGAGAAACTTTTCTCACCCTCTCACAGGATGTTCCCGCTGTACTTCTACTTCACAACCAGTACTGCTACAAACTTTCCATTACTACCAATACTGCAACTACTTTTACTTCACTGCATTCACCGTAGAATAATTACTGCAACCACAAACACTTTTATTTAATAAATTCCATTTAATTGCAAGTATAAACAATTCATTTGAAGTTGAATATGCAAAACTATTTTAAAAAAAGCAAACAATGTGAGGAATAAAGTTTCCAATACTAGTTGGATAATAAATTGATATTTAAACTGAGCTTTTCTTTCCTGGAAGGAATATTGTAATAGGGAGCAAATTAAATACAAATAACAGGAAACGAATAACCAAGTTATTTCCAAGAAAATCTTTGAATTTATTTGAAGACCGCTCCCTCCAAAAGAAACGAAGGAATATTATGAATAAGAACAAAAATCCTCTCTCGTAGTTTGACTCTAAACCCTTTATTTGTGACGGCCAGAGGTCAGCGTCTGGTTGACTACAGCGGTCGCTCTCCAATGGAAAACCTCTAATCCAGAAATGCCAGGAATAGTTAAGTGGTGAGAGTTAAGAGTTTCACCTGAACAAGCGGAGAAGAAAGTTCTCATTCTGCGGCGCAGGGCGTCGACTCGAGCAGCTGAAACACACAGAACATTTATTCTATAAATTATTAGATAAATACATTTTCATTGATGTGTGTTTGTCGTCCTGTGTATAGGAGATATACTGTCGCTCTCTTTATCCTGCAGTTCATGCTCCACAAAAAAATAATTCCTTTCTATTTACTGTAAAACAGGAAAATTACCCATGGTGCCAAGTGGTCTGAGAGTGATGTGGTGGTCTCAGTTAGCCATGGTGTTTTATTGATAATAACCTCGACCACCCTTGTGGTCTCTCACACACACACACACTCGCTGGAAATAGCATACACTGGTGACCACTGTGACATCTGCTGGTGGTTGAACATGTTAGAACAGGACCTCACACACACACACACACACACACACACAAACACACACGGACATGTGAAGTGTTAGTGGACAAGGACATGCAATGATCCATATCAGTGTTTCTCACTGTGATAACACACACAAACAGACACACACACACAAATGCCATGGATACCACAAGTAGTTCTAAATATCTTGTCTTCTCACCTCAGGAAAGCAATTATTCATTCCGACCCCATGTGTTGTCCAGATTGACCTACCAGACACACACACACACACACACACACACACACACACACACACACATGCACGCTTTACCAACCTCTGTTTCACAGCAGTGTTTGCTTTTGTTGGATAATGACACTGACATGGCAGCCTTCGGTGTGTGTGTGTGTGTGTGTGTGTGTGTGCATACAGACATGCTTCACCATGCATGCAGACCAGTCACCCAGACTCCAAAAGGTCGACTCTATCTGTATCTGTAAAATGTGGTTTTCCCGCTTTTCCAAATGATGTCATCCACATCAAGTAATCCTCAGTCCCTGAACCTGTCTTCATCAAAACCTTTGACTTAAATACATTGTCTCTGTCTTGCTCACATGTGACGTTTGTGGTCCAGATTCCAGTCACAAATCAATCACTTTTAAAACAATCCTACAGTAATGAGGAAGGTGGGCGTTAACCGGGTCCGAAGAATCAACAAATACCGCTGATTTAATCCCGCTACTGCAAACACGAGCCGTCCCGGGGGAGCAGCTCAGTTAAAACAGTCGTGGTTTTCATGTCATACTCGTAATTGGTTCAACAAACAAACTGTCAGAGCCTTAAAGAGGATGGAATAATAAAACCGAGTTGGGGAGTTGAATGGTTAAGGCCAATGCAACTTAATCAAAACATCCTCGGATCAAATTGTCATTGCACATCATATCTACACAAGTGTTTGAATGACTAAAATAAAATAAAAATAAACTAGAATGTCACTCAGTCGAGTGCATTCCTCCACCAAGGCCCAACAGTTCCCTTATAAAACCACTTTTAATTAAATCTACACCAAATTGCACAAACTCAGAGATATCAGTCAGAAATCAATTCCACTTTTATCAAGTCTGCAATGTTAAAGAAAGTGGGAAAATAATCCTGGATCTGTAAGATAATTTTATGGGTTCTTGATCGGATCATGTCCCATCCGTCCACCAAGTTTCGTGGAAACAGTCTGTATCGTTTTTGTGTTATCTTGTTCACAATCACACACAAACAGACAGGGGCTGAAAACAAAACCTCCTCAGCAAAGTTAATAAAACCAGTGATGCAGATATGAGTTTCTGAATATAAACTCAGCTGTGTTCTCCTCCCGTCCTCTGTGAACTCAAACTGT